CGTATCAGTTTCATGATAATATACCCTTGTAGATATAGGTCTATAACAATGTTTGTTTATGTATATAATATGCATTGTTTACGACTTATCTTATCATGAATTTATCAACAAGATCAATAGGCGAAAGTACAAGTAATGATGAAAATGAAACGTAGATAAAGCCATAAACTGATTATATAGTGACACAAATGATTAACTATATTAGATGTTCAGAAGTCTTAAACATTTTCATTGGCTTCGAAAAGGTGGCAATGTCAAGGCTGACATCATTGGCATCCATGACCTTGCCACCATGATATTACCACCACTGTTACCAGATAGTCTTACAACTGACAGCACTGGCACGGAATAATCTCCTGTGGGGTAGAGCCTCAACTGTCACCCATGATACTGGGAAGTCACAGATGGTACCATGAAACCAAGCAGGTTTGTACCTGAACCTTGCTCCATTTGTACTGGATAGAGTTATAATTACTGATACTACTGGTGCCACCAGTACTGAGTAGTAAACTCTAAGTAGTGTCCTGAGTGGTAATAATGAAACAGGGTAAAATCAATATTTCAGACCTCCCAACAACCCATAACTTTGCCAATTTTGATCCAGGGGGTGGATACATTGATAAAGGGTTGATTCCAGAAAATATCAAAAAGAGTGTAGATATTGATATTAGGTAATTGTAATATTAATACCAAGTACAGTCAAGGTTGGTAATATTGATACCAGGTAGAGTCGAGATTGGTAATATTGATAACAGGTAGAGTCAAGATTGGTAATATTGATACCAGGTAGAGTCGAGGTTGGTAATATTGATACCAGGTAGAGTCGAGATTGGTAATATTGATACCAGGTAGAGTCGAGATTGGTAATATTGATAACAGGTAGAGTCAAGATTGGTAATACTGATACCAGGTAGAGTCAATATTGGTAATACTGGTACTAAGTAGACTAAACATTGGTAATATTGATATCAGGTAGAGTCAAGATTGGTAATACTGATACCAGGTAGAGTCAATATTGGTAATATTTATACCAGGTAGAGTCAAGATTGGTAATATTGATACCAGGTAGAGTCAAGATTGGTAATATTGATACCAGGTAGAGTCGAAATTGGTAATATTGATAACAGGTAGAGTCAAGATTGGTAATACTGATACCAGGTAGAGTCAATATTGGTAATATTGGTACTAAGTAGACTAAACATTGGTAATATTGATGTCAGGTAGAGTCAAGATTGGTAATACTGATACCAGGTAGAGTCAATATTGGTAATATTGGTACCAAGCAGACTAAACATTGGTAATATTGATATCAGGTAGAGTCAAGTCTAGTAGATTTGATACCAGATAGAGTCAATATTGGTAATATTGATACTAAGTAGACTAAACATTGGTAATATTGATATTAGATAGAGTCAAGTCTAGTAAATTTGATACCTGGTAGAGTCAATATTGGTAATATTGATACCAGATAGAGTCAAGATTGGTAATATTGATACCAGGTAGACTAAAAATTGGTAATATTGATATCAGGTAGAGTCAAGATTGGTAATAATGATACCAGGTATAGTCGAGATTGGTAATATTTATACCAGGTAGAGTCAAGATTGGTAATATTGATACCAGGTAGAGTCGAGCTGGGTAATATTGATACCCGGTAGTCAAGATTGATTATATTGTTACCAGGTAGAGTCAAGATTGATAATATTGTTACCAGGTAGAGTCATGGCTGGTTATGTTGTGGCACAATGGTACTGATATTACAGTTACCAGTGCAACTGTTAAATTTGATATCTGGTTGAAATATGTTTTGATTTGCAAATTTATTTAACTTAGTTACACAAAAACAAGTAGTTATTTTGGGACTTGATACGACAAGAAACTGTTTGTGGGTCTCTCTTTTTGATTAAATCATTATTAGTTCAGTATAGCATAATAAATATATAGTAAGTATAGGGCAATAACAAGATTACAATCAGGTGCGATAGTATCAGATATAACTATGGACATTTATAAGGATATTTGTTAAAGCTACATTGACGTCGAAATATTTTTTATATAGATTTAAATTCCAACTGTTCAAAACAATAACCTACGTCCCGTCCTTCTGTAACACAAATTTTCCCTATTGTAATCCTTTCAGGTCTCATTCTCACATGAATCGTAAGTAAAATGTAAAACTCTATTCATTTCATTTCATTTTCACATGACATCGTATAGAAGTGATTATGTCTGAGTATGCCAGAAATGACGACTGCCTAGATTGCCAGACGTAGGGTAGGGGTGGGAGAGGTGCGGTGTTCTGTTTTTGGGAACATGATTGAAGGTTTTTTTTGCATCCGATTTCAATGAAATTGGCTACGATTTGAAATTGACTGAGCTGACATTGTAAGGCCTTAGCTCGCATGTACGTACACGGTAAAATTTGTTTGGAAGAGTTCTACTTGAATACGCAGGAATTAGTCTCTTGGTAATTATATATTTAATAGAAAAAATTAAACGAGTAGTCACAAATTAGAAAATTTTCAGAGGAAAAGTGTGAAATCTAATGCCTCAATCCTAACCACAAACAAGGAAATAACATAATATCTCTTAAATTTCTTCTCTTAAAGTTAAGTAAATATTTAACATTAAAAAAAGATGATAACAATAGTAACCAAATATTTTCAATAATAAAATACACCAAGAAATATCCAACACATGATCTGAAAAATGTTGTAACAACAGGTTTCGGGTTCTGTTTTAATATTTCTATATTTCTGTATGATAATTATGTATATTGTAATGGTACAATAATAAAACTACTTCTCAATACATTTATTGTATAAAGCGATATAGAAATAAATTTCTAAATTCTAATGATATATTACAATAGAAATTGTGAATGTGCCACACCACCTTTAAAACCATCTCGTAACTTTTTTTATTAGACAATAGTCTAGACAAGTATATTCCAGACGTGCCTGTTGGTATTTTTCTATCGATTGGCGGCTTATCTGACATACATTTCTATTTCTCGGTAAAAAAAAAGAGTAGCAGAAACTATTACATCTGAAGTAATTGAATTTCAGCGTCAAGTTTTAAAACTTAAAAACTGATTTCAAATATGATTAAATCGAATTGAACATGCAGTAGGCCTAAATGCATTTCAACAAAGGTATACAATAAAACTTGGGCTGATTGCCAAATTTTAATTGTTGACTGTAGGTAACCGACCCAGCACGCGACACATAAGTTTGTCTATCATATCTATACGGTGAAAGATAAAGAGATAGATTATAGTAAGGTCTATAAATAATATCTATGTTTAAACATGCAAGAACACGTTAAAAACAACTCAAAACTTGCTGTTAGTTTGTTACTAAAACTGGTAGCTTACTCAGCAAGGGAAACAACTCCATAATCATATAAAAGGCAATCTGTTCATATAATTTAACATTTTATTATTCATCGAATTTATTCGGTTTTGTACATATTTTTAAAAAAAATCGAACAAACTGAATGAAAATGCAAATAATTAAAAACAATAAAAAGTCGAGATCAGTTGTTAAATCACAAATTTAAATAAATGAAATATTAAAATATGACTTCACGTGAATATCTTATTATTACAACTTGTTAATGCCTTGATCATACCTTTGACAAACGTAGTACAAATTATGTATATTTTAACATGAATTGATGGTGAATTGTAGGTAAAAGTTATATATGAAATGAAAGCAAACAATGGTAATAGCCTAGCCTATTACACAATATTCTGATTTTTAATTCCAAATATATCGATGTAGAGGCTAATATACTTTAAAGGTCAGATTTATTTATTTATTTGTAACCTATGTTATAGTGTCATAAATCTATTTTTTGAAGGGATTGAAATATATTTTTTCATCTATTTTACATCAAATTAGGCTTGACATTTTTTTAAAATTACCTGTGGTACTGAATTTAGTAATAATATCATGTATGTTCGAAGTGATATCAATATCTGTCAAATTCGAATACTCAGTAATAAAATCAACATTTTCAACGTTTAGATGTTATTCAAATACACTAGTAAAAATATTAATTCAGGAAGTGACCATAATCATCTAAACTGAAAATAATAAATATAATATAAATATAATGACTTTTGAGAACAACACAAAGAATAATCTATTTTTACTGCTTATCTGAGATTTAGCATTAGTTACATTGGGCGTTGTCTTCCTTCTATCGATGTATTTTATTTTTATTTTAAACTGTTGTTGTATAATGACACACAAGATCCGAATAAAATAAGTCTATTGTAAAAAAAAAAAAATCTCGATTATGAAACAAAAAGGCCTAAAAACATAATGTAAATATTTAAAGTAAATGGTCGGTCAATTTTGATCTAATATTCTATTACCATTGTATGTGGTCTAAAGATTCTCAAAAAGAAACTATTTAAATATATCTCGATCACAAATATCAAAACTAACAAAGTAAATATTCTAAAGGAATAAAATAAAACTGTAAATATTTCTGAATGATGCTATTGCACTGTGCAAAATTACCCAGTGACCTAAATATATAATAGCAAATTGAACTTATTTAGTTTTATTTCAAAATACATAATGTTTTAGTGTGTGAATGTGGTGGATGAAATAATTGCGAGAATTACAAAAAGAATAAATATCAATATGACAAGTTAATTTTTAAAATATAATAAATTGAATTTTTACGCCGTATTTTCTACATGAAAAAAAATCAATAGATTATGAATAGTATAAATAACTAGTCAAATATTTCACATTCTACTATAATTTGTTATAATTATATTCATTTGATATAAATGGAATAATTAAACCAAGTACCAACGATCCGAACCGCAAAAACTGCTAAAATAATTTCAAAATGATCCACAGACATAAGTATCGTTTTTACAAAACAAAAAATACACAACTGAAACTTTCACATCTTCAACTATTTACATCCTCTAGATTCTATTAAAAATTGGAATACATTTACAATCGCAATAATTACAAAGCATGATATATACAAAGCACAATATTTACAAAGCACAATATTTACAAACGCATGATATATACAAAGCATGATATATATATAAAGCACAATATTTACAAAGCAGTAATTACTAAGCACAATATTTGCAAAACACGACATTTTACAAAAATAACTATAAAATACACCTGGTTTATATGTTCATTGAATTTTATATTCGAGCTTAATGCCTTGAAAATAATAAATTCAAATCACATTGTAAACCAACAGGACGAAAATTACAGATCTGAAAATGTTCTTTCATTTTATCTAACAAATTATCTCTCTCAATAATCAAGTCATTCTGAATCTTTCGTAATTTGTCGTTTTCTTTTACTAAGGCTTGGATATCCTGTAAAAAATGGTGCGAACACAATTAAACTTTTATATAAAAAAGCAAGAACATATTTCATTTTCATAAACACATTGAAGAATTATTTTATGAAAAACAGAAATATGTGTCTGTCAATCAACAATTTGGATAGAAATAGTTGTGGTATAATTATAATTATGAAAAAATACCAAGCCCAAATTTATGGTCTAAAAAAAAATTACAAGAACTCTCAGTGGAAAAAGTGTGCCGTATTTGTAGCAATGCTGTAACACAAAAAATGGAATTCCGGAAATATCATCTATGAAAGGAGAAAAACCGAAAATAAAACATGTAACCTAAACTTAGGTTTAATACGCAAATAAAAACCAAAGAAATTGAAATTACAATAATTATGTCTCACCGTTTCTAATTGTGAACTTTTACTTCTATTTTTCTGACGAAACCTCCAGGCTGCCTTACGATTTTGCTCTCTCCGTCGTTTTTTCTTTTCAATCTCATATTCCGACAGCTAAAATAATAAAAAAACAATTTAGACGCAAGAAGGCCAAATGGGTGACAATGATTATTGCTGATTGCCTTATCAAATTAAAGTTGTCCTTGAAATTATTGCATCAGTAATTTTAAACCTGCGTCAGCGATCAGGCAATAACTACGATTAAATAATAGATTCCAGTCCAATTTGAGAATTATTCAAAAAATCATTGTGATTCAAAAATAGGATCCTTTCACGGAAATGTTTACTTTATCTCTCTTTTTAGTTCTGCCAATGCATGCGCTGTTGATCCCATTTGCGAACTTATGAAAAAAGAAATCGCGAAGTAGGTAAACACCTATGATTTTGAAGATAAAAAATAAAACTAATTTTACCTCGTTTGATGTGTTCAGTATAGGTTGCGTGTCTACCTCACTTTTCCCTTCCGAATTCCTCCGAACTAATATTGAATACCTCAATTCCTGTTTAAGAATAGGCATTACAGAACCCGTCTGTAAAGACAATTGAGCAGCACTGAGCACATCATTTTCTTCTTGGTTATTTTGACTCATCGTATTATTATTAGTCATTGTAAAACAGTCATCGTCCAGCAGATCGGAGAAATCACACATGGCTGTCATTATTTACTGTCAACCACAATCAGGTCATATTATACTATACTAGTCTTTATATATCATACTATAATATACTCCAACCAATACCAAAACATTTATTATGTCACTATTTCACACACTTTAAATAGAATTTCTGCACGTGAACACAATATGTAAATGTTTGTAGAGGTAAACCATAGAGTAACGAGCATTACTTATATACAGCTATATGTAAGCTAGTTGATATTGGCTAAATGTATGTGACGTTTGGAGTATGTGAAGGAGACTGAATCATGTGACAAAACTGACTCCGCCCTCTTTTAATAACCCACTTAACAATCAATACTGGAGATCACGTGGCAATAATTTGCATAATTTATGTTACCCATTTAAAGTTTGTCCGAATCTTATTAGAATAATCTAGAATGAAGACTAGATAATTATTTGATAAAACTCTATTTTAACACTAACGAAACCAATGTTGAAATATTAATAGGCTTATTGGTGAGTCTTTAACATACGTAATAAAATCATTAGAATATTTCAAATTTTCCATTTTGTTTTTATATTTCCTGAAATTTTTGTTAAGATTCGTTATCTTATCTTATGACAAGCTAATGCATTCGATAGTTTTCTGAATTCTTCTGCTTTAACATTGATTTTAAACACAAAACTGCAGATTTTATATGATTTCAAATTTCTATTTCCGCATGAATTTATGAAATGATATCACAGTGTCTCATTCAAAATGTCTGTCTTTATTTTGATAACAAAAGGGAGAATATTTGGGAATTTTATATATAAATGTATTTGAATAATTTATGCAGGTTTATATGGATATTATGATAAAATAGCTCAGTTGTGTGCAAGGTAAAGTCTGTTTAATGTCCATGTGCCCTATAAATAGCTTCACAATGCAATAATCAGCTATGACTCAGCAACGATTGTTAGGGTATTCCAAGATTTGACCAATGACTATGCAAGATATTAACAAAAGAATCGTTGACATGAAGCGATGAAGCTGTCGTCGTCTAAATAATGGAAAAGAGTCAATACACAAAGGTCAGCTATCCTTATCCCTTTCCCTCCGTTGATAATAACCTCTATTCGTGTGAATCTTTAAAACCCCCAAAAACTTGCCGCACTCGTGCAACACCTAAAATCAGACTATAATGCATATAATAATATATATTTGATATATTTCAATTGTTCATATTTACTCTTCAATTTTATTGTTCATAAATATGTTGAGTGGATTTTCATGTTGTATTTTAAAAAGTGTACAATCTGAAAAGATTTTTGAAATTTTGAAAAGTATTTCACTAATAGCCTATGAAAATTTAGTATTCATTAAATAAGAATTACATTTGAAGAGCTATAAATGAACATTCCACGTCTTATATGCATCGGTAGGCTTCAGTCATAAATTGTTCAATTTAAAACTAAATATTACAGTTAGAGTGTCATGCACATTTTTCCATAAAGATTCTTCCTTGAAAAATTTGATAGGCCAGTATGTTTCGGGTTAGGTTTGATTTTAATTGATTAAAAAGATAAGTTATATCCTGCATTTCGAAGGAAAATGGCTCGTCGTTGGTGAGTGAGTGTGTTAGACATTTACAATGTGTGACAGTTTGAACAAGAAAAATGTCGCCATGCCTTAGCCCGTTTTTTATTATCAATTCTCTTATTTTAAACCCTTGTAACAAATCAGGAAAATCAAAATTATATTCTGATTCTACTCCATAAACTTAGATGGTGTGAAAATGAATAAATCTATCGAACTTTTAGTGAGTGATATAAGATAAATAAAGTATTGATAATAAACAAATCAATTGATAATATACCAGTAACAAACTTTGTGATAATGGATATTACTAACATTGCCACAGGGTTAACCTCCAATTTCACACATACCGGGGTGAAGTCGGGTTAATATTATGGTTGTATAAATTAATGCTACTTTAATTGACCTCAGGATGAACACCAAGCCAAATTAAATACTTATACATAGAAAGTTTGGTCTTTCTCCATGCAGCCTTAACAGAAATATTCCTAGAGTTGCATTGAATTCTCAACATGGTCTAGTCCGTTTAATCTAACCATTTAGCCACCTCATATTAAAATTTGATTGGTCGAGTATTTAGGTCTCGACGAATCAGCTTCATGTCAACAAAATTTGTATTGTTACGTATTTATATATTTATGCACAGTATACGGGCAACTGACTACATTTATTAGTCATAAGAGGTTTTTCATCGGTCTGAAGGCTCAGGAGTTAAATGTCGATACCGATTGTTACACTGAAGTTCATTAGAAGATACTCTATAGTTATAGGTGTTATAGAAGATACCCTCCTATAGAAGCACTGGCCTAGGTCACAAGTAGAGACTATGGATTTCAACATGAAAACTATTTCAATTCAAACAGAATATGTTTTACTGAAGATTATTCATAGATAATTACTTCTGGAGAGATTACAAGAAAAAATATATTCAATTCAAATTCCAATGCAATTGTTTCAGGGAGTTGATGAAAGGGGTTCTAATCTTCCATGAACCAATACATTACTAAAGTTTTTAGTTCTTTTATATACAGAAACGTTTGGAAATTCATTTTGGAGCTCAATGTAAAAGCGTTTGACAATGACAGAGACATTTTTAGCTGTAGTTTTGTAGGTGGCAATGATGGGTATGATTCGGTTGTCATATTGGATATTTAGGCCGTTAGGAATGACTCTATCCAATGTTGATACAGGTTATACTTTTTCTATAGGCATAACTAGAAGATCTTCAATGGAATGATTGGGTAAATTGAAATGATTCGCAATCGGTCTATCTTTCTTATGGAGTATATCGAAGCGATGACCGCTAAGACGAGTCCGCAACGCGTTTTGAGTTTCGCCAACATATTGAACGTCACATTTTTTACAAGAAATTAGGTATATAATGTTTTTATCGATGCAAGAAATTACTTTCGTAAGTTCGAAAATTTTACCGTTTTTCTTGTTTTCGAAATAGTGAGATACATTTATATATTCGCAGGTACGACACCTGGAACCTCCACATCGAACTTCAATTACAATCACTATGATAAAGTGGACCGATTTGCCCATTTCTGTTTTTGCTGGAGCCCATGTCCTTCTGTCTTCTGTTGGAAGGTTAGTCCTTTTTTACGTCCTCCGTCCGCCAATCTCCCCTCCTTTGATTCACAATACATCGTAATAATTGACATAAACACTGTAGAATCAATACTTTATAATCGATTTTTATCAAATTTGGCTTTTGAATACATAGGCTTACCTAAAATTATAATTAAGGCCAAATTTTAGCGATTTCGGAAAACTAACCCCCTTTTCTCGTATCTTGAAAATGTTATGGAATCTTCAGCTTTCGAAAATTAGCAATCTATGACTAGTTCCCCATGATATTAACACCGAGACCTTGCATATTGAAATTTTATAGTTCTTTCAGTTTTCACATCATTCTCATAAAACTTGGTATGTAAATACAGCTATTTGATTGGATTTTAAGCCAGGAAATACAGCCAATTGGAGGTGTCGACAGAAAGTCTGTAATGTTTTCAGTCTTTCTGTCGAGAGCTCTGATTTGCCGTATTCGCTCGTGTTCAATCCAATCAAATTATTACTTTCTGTGAAAAGTGGCTAATGCAGTCAAGGTATAAGATAGTAATAGCTCGACATTGTTAGGGTGTTGAGTATAATTTCAGTTCAATGATTCAACAGTTGATGAATAAAATATGATTATAAAGCACTGGATATTAAGATGGAGAAATGTAGAGTAGGTTCTTTGTATTAATTGATACAATTTATAATTACTTGATTCATGGAGCATAACTAATCGAGTAATACTAATTGAGCATTGCTAACTTTATGGAGCATTTATATAAAGTTACACAAACATATTACTAGATACGTGGAACATTACTTGATACAGGGATCATTACTAACGGAATAGTACTAGGTATATAGATCATTACTAGATATATGGAGTTTTATTAATAAAACATTATTAGATGCACGGGGCATTACTAGATATATGGAGCATATTATCAAATAAATAGAAAATTACTAGATACAGGGAGCATTACTAATGGGATAGATACTAGATACATGAATAATTACTAATTGAATATACTAGGTACATTGGACATAACTAACTGAGTATTACATACATGGAGCATTACTAGTTACATGGAGTATTACTAATGAACTTTGATAGATACATGGAGTATGACCAATGTAGCTTTATTAGATACAGGGATCATTTCTAATGGAGTTTTACTAGAAACTTGGAGCATTACTAATGGATCGTTACTAATGAATTTCTACAGTCTGATGGTTATTTTTTTTTCTATCTGCAGGAATTGATCAGTTTTCTATAAGAAGATATGGAATCAGGGGACGCAACTTCTAACAGTTTGATCCTGGAACTAACAGCAGGTGGTTTAACTCACGAACATATTCATTAAGTAAGTAAAGGGTCCGCAAAAGAGGAAGGGGTAAAGAACTAAGCAAGATTACCCATTCACTTCGCATACAATCGGCTGATTTGGTTGGTACTTACTTAGTGACTACATGTACTTACTTTCTAGCGTACTTAATATATAACTTACTTACTTCTATCTTTCAATTGTTCGCTCATTTACTGAGTGAATTTAAAAGGGAAGGTAGTAGGTTGATCGATTTTATGGATTTCGTAATCTGTATCCCGTTATTTGGTGAGATCCATCAGCGGATTATTGAAGATTCACTCAATGAACTCTAATATTTATAGTTATGACCGAAATATCTTTTCAACTGTGCCATAACTCTAGGGGAATATGTCGATACGTTTATCTATTATCGTTTTTTATTGTATTTTATGCAATTTGAAAGATTTTGCAATGCATTTTTCTTTGGAGCCGCCACTTTCATCTGTGATATATACGTATACGCTATAATAATAATAATAATAATAATAATAGCTTTATTAGAAACCCAGTTGCACAAGGCAATCTTCCCTGGGATCTT